TAGTGTGGGGGGGTCCCCCCCCCCCCTACCGCCAACAACCACCCTTAAACCCCCAACTAAATCCACCCCTGCAATAGTGTCACCAAAAAAAAGGGACCCCCCCAAACTAATTTTCGGCCCCGGGCCCCTCCCACCGGCTCCTCTTCATTTCCTCTTCGCTCCTCTTCCCTCTCCTCTTCCTCTCCCTCTCCTCTTAGGTCATCTTGTTCTCTTTTTTTCTCTCTTCCGAAACCCATGCCCGAAAAACTTTACTTTATTGTGGGGGGGGGGGGGGGGCAATCGAATTTTTGTCTCCTGAATAATTTTTGGAAAACTTTCATTATTGGAGGGGTCCAGACTAATCAGGATACGACATTAGTAGTAGTAGTAGTAGTAGTAGTAGTAGTAGTAGTAGTAGTAGTAGTAGTAGTAGTAGTAGTAGTAGTAGTAGTAGTAGTAGTAGTAGTAGTAGTAGTAGTAGCAGTAGTAGTAGTAGTAGTAGTAGGACCCCTAAACCCCTAAACCCCTAAACCCCTAAACCCCCAAACCCCTGAACCCCTGAACCCCTAAGCCCCTGAACCCCTAAACCCGTAAAACCCGAAGCTTCGGGAGCTCTGTCCCAAGGCGATGGCACCGTCTCGGCAGCGCAGGAGAAGATGCGAGGCCAGAGTGCGCAGCTGTCGCCGTGACCCAGGTTGAGGGTTTCGGGATTATAGGGTTTAGGGTTGGGGGGTCGGGGGGTCTTATTCCTTCAGGGTTGGAGGCTTCAGCAGCTTCAGGATCACGAAATCATGCGAGGTTTGGGTTTAGGGTTCAGGCGGGGACTTTCGAGCTTGAGATGGAGATGCCGAAGAGGGTTTAGGGTTTAGGTAAGGCGTTTGGATTTGCAGGGCAAGTGCATACATTGCAGATGCAGAAAGCTGCAGGTACGAGCAGATGTTCATGACAAATGCCGGGGCAGCGCTGATTCTGCTTCCTGTCGCGCGCCCAGACGCGTTCCCTGATCTGCAGGGCCTTAAATCCCCCAACCCTACGCCGTAACCCCATGAGAACGGGTGCTTATGAGAGGTGTCCTTCATGACTGGTCAGCTCAGCGCGGGTCAGGGGCCCAGGAGCCCCTCACGAAAGGGGCCTTGCTTTCCCCAAAGGAACCCTTTGGGGGCAAGTCTTGGGCCGCACGTTTAAGAGGACTACGTCTTGGGAGTATATAGGTTTTGGGGGGTTTCTCGGCTTGAGCTGGGCTCACTGCTGGATTGAGGATTGTGTGGGACTTTGGGGCTTACGGATCTCGAGGACGACCAAGTTTAGGGTCTGAAGAATTATAATGCTTTATGAATCGCGGTTGTTTGTAAGCCCCTAAACCCTACTCCCTAAACCCGACGAACCGTCGGCGGTCTGCAGGGCATCCACGGCATGGGCTGTGCACATTTGGGAACGGGCTTGCGCATGATTGCACACTGCTGAACAGACTCTGAGGTCGCAGAGTTACTCAGAGTCATAGCATATATTGAAACTTTTGAGGGTGATATGATCACTTATATTTCTGACCCGTGTCAAGCCCACCAAGCCCAATACTTCTTAACTAAGGCGCATACCCTGCTCAATTGTATCAGGAGCCCCAAATATACAGCTTGAGGTAACGTCAGGAATTCGCTCCGTGGAAACCAAAGTAACCTAAACCCTCAACCCTAATCCATAAACCCTATCCCCTGTCCTGTCACTTAATGCAGAGGCATCCAGTTTCTCTATGAGAACATCACGATTCTTGACGAGGTGGCCGCCTGTACACCAAAGAAGGAAGCCACAGGAATATTGAGACCCAGAGTAGGCCCTTACTAGCCAAGAGAGGGTACCCTTCACACTTCCCCCCCCCCCCCCAAAAAAAAAAAAACAAAACCAGAAAAGAACATGAGTACCCCTGTTACGGGACACACACACACACACCACCCCCCCCCCCCCCCCCACCCCATAGCGACGCCAGAAGCCGCTTGAGCTGACAAAGTTGTTGTTGCACACTGCTTTGGGCAAGCTTGTCAGGGCGACGCGCATAAGGCTTTGAGGGTGTAGAAGCCAGCTTCGGAGAGCGAATGGTGCCACCCCTTGCTATTCCTAAACCCTAAACCCTTAACCCTTAACCCTAGACCCCCACTTGGCCTCCCCTCTTTGGCAGATTGCCATCTTTGCCATCTGCTCGGCGCTTGGACAGGCACGGCTTCATCTCCCTGAGTACAGTACGTGACAGAAGTCATGGCAAGACTAGGATTCTTCGACAGAGCATGGGCACGCTGCAAACCTATCCCTGTACATCCTAAACCCATATTACCCCTAAACCCTTGGCCCTAAACCCTAAACCCTAAACCCTAAGCCCTAAACCCTAAACCCTAAATCCTAAATCCTAAACCCTTACACCCCTAAGCCAATACACCCCGAACACTGCGCGGCAGGTGTTCATCTTCCTGACCATCTCATGGTTCGGCCCCGATACGAATGCCAAGGTTACGACCATTCGTGGGGCGCTGAGGGTCCGTCCCTTCGCCAGTGTTTGGGTTGGTTTAGTATTTAGGGTTTGGTTTTTGGGGTTTTTGGGGTTTTTGGGGTTTTTGGGGTTTTTGGGGTTTTTGGGGTTTTTGGGGTTTTTGGGGTTTTTGGGGTTTTTGGGGTTTTTGGGGTTTTTGGGGGTTTTGGGGGTTTTGGGGGTTTTGGGGGTTTTTGGGGTTTTGGGGGTTTTTGGGTTTTTGGGGTTTTTGGGGTTTTTGGGGTTTTTGGGGTTTTTGGGGTTTTTGGGGTTTTTGGGGTTTTTGGGTTTTTTTGGGTTTTTGGGTTTTTTGGGGTTTTTGGGGTTTTTGGGGTTTGGGGTGTGGGGTTTGGGGTTTAGGGTTTGGGGGCTGGAGATTGGGGACGCTTCATGGCTTTGCCTCGGCTCGACACTGCTCTTCGAAAACGATGGTAGAGGCAAAGTTCTCTTAAGTTATAGTTTTTCTTAAAGAGTCCCGAGTATCATGCACAGCCTTGTATTAAGGGACCCTGAACGCTAGGACTCTAAACCCTAAACCCTAGCCCTAAACCCTAAACCCTAAACCTTATACCTTATAAATCCTAAACCCTGAACTTGGTAAACCCCATAAAACCCCAAAAGGCCGACCGAGGGCTTCTCTCAGAGGGTGAATAGGGTACCAGTGGGGTTTAGGGTTTAGGTTTTAGGTTTTTCGGGTTTAGGGTTTAGGGTTGAGTATCAGGAGTGTACGGAATATCACATACCGAGGCACTTAGTGGGATTTGGTTTTTGGGATGCTTGAGTCTTCGGGCTCTGCGTGCTCATGAGGGGCGGGGGGGTCAGGGCGGTTTAGGTTTTAGGGTTTAGGGTCTGGGGTGCTGCAGAATCAGAAGATCACACCCGGACGGCGACGTTCAACCCCCCTAGGTTTCCGGCTTTGCCTGTCAGGGCTTGGTGTTCAGATCCGGTTCCCAAAGAGCCCAATACCCATTAATTAAGGAATATGCCTTAAATCATTCTAAGGATCCCTTTATAGTTAAAGGAACATTCCTTAATTAAGGGGTTTTGGGCTTTCTGGGTTCTCCTCTTGCTGAACTCCTTTTGCGGAAGCCATGGCACCATTTGGCCTGACGCGGCTGGAGGTCCAAACGCAGCCAATCCTAACCTTGTGCCTTGCTAGCCCAGTGGTACCCTTTTCCCTTGTTTGGGACCCAGGATCCCTCATAAAATACCCACCCCCAAAAAGGGTCTAGGGGTTTAGGGTTTAGGGTTTAGGATTTAGGGTTTAGGATTTAGGGTTTTGGGTAAAGGCCCTTATTAAAACATGGTTGCTGGGCTGCCAAGGTGCTTGGTCAGCCTGACGGTGGCAGACATGTTGGACCAGCCATATGCCACTAGGTAGGCTCTTGGGATATTATACATTTCCCCCCCTTTTGGGTTCAAGAGGATAACATGTAGGAATAACCCTAAACCCTAAACCCTAAACCCTAAACCCTAAACCCTAAACCCTAAACCCTAAACCCTAAACCCTAAACCCTAAACCCTAAACCCTAAACCCTACACCCTAACCCTAAACCCTTTTGAGGAATATATTTTTCAGAGGGTTTTTTTGACCATCCGAGGCTAGATCTTTGGTGCATTGCGACGTCCCGGTGAACACAACCGAAGGTGCCGAGTTCTCAGGCTCGCGATACTGCGGGCACCGCTTGCATGTTACTTACTTCGCCCCCTTAGTAGAACTTTAAGCTTTTTGGGTTTCCTTTTGTAGTAGGAACAATAAAACTTTACATTTTTTCCTTGGTTCTTGGCGAAGTAAGGTTATTGGTGTAGGCGCAGAGGTTGCCGGATGGGGGCAGAGCTTTGCGAATGCCGGGCGCCTTTGCATCACCCTTTTCTTGAGCGGTTTGGCAGACTACGGGCGCAGGCGGCCGGTTCTCTTGGGCCAGTTTATGGTCACTTTGGCGACCGTCTTGTTTGCCTTTGCCCAATTCTTGCCAACAAGTCTGGCATTTCCTTCCTATGTGGTTGCGAAGGGCCTGCAAGGAATGAGTGGCATCGGCATCATCCAGGAGATTGTCACTGGGGACGTCGCGCTTCGGCTGAACGACACTGTCGCGGTTTATGGCCGCAGGCAGGTGCTCATCAACTGTCTCTTTGTCGTGCTCACTCCCCTTAACTTGTACATGCAGTGGGTGGAGATAGCGGACTTCACTTATGCCTGGGCTGCAATGGTCGTCGTGAATCTGGCAGCCTTGGCCTTGTCATGGCGTTTTTTCCCGGAGACGCTGCAGAGGAAAAAGGACGTCCAGCAGTTTTCTGTCATGGCCATGGTGAAGGAGGAGGTGCAAAATTTCCGGGCTCTAGTCAGAACCCACGACTACATCAGCATACGGATTGTTGAGGAGCTCTTCAGCAAGATGGCGGCCCCCGATGCCATTGTCCTGCCATTCCTGATGGCGAACTTCCAGTTCTCCCAGTTCGATGCGCTGGTCGTCACCGCCCTGCCGGGGATCCTTGGGGGCATCTCTCTAAGCTGGCTGGTGCCCACGATGTGTGCGAAGCTGGGGCACAAGAAAGTGATGAGGTTCTGCCTTTTGTACTATCGGCTCTCTGGTTGCATCCTCTCCTTCTTGCTACCTTTTCGGTTCCTGGGCATTCCGGTGCCTTTGATTGGCATGGCGATGCATCTTCCGCTGTCGGGCCTCCCGGCCGTGGCCCAGGGGATTGAGATCCGCGTGATCCGGCAGGAGAACAACGCCAAGTTTCAGGCCTGCTAGGGTTTGGGGTTTGGGGTTTAGGGTTTAGGGTTTAGGGGTTTAGGGTTCCTGGCCTCCTGCCATAGGTGAGCTGAGTCAGGTACCTCAACTACGACTGCCATTGCTACTGCTGATTGCTTCTGCTATGTTAATACGGCGTGTACGAAGCCTACGCTCGTTCTGATTCTTCTGCTTGCTCTTGCTCTTCCTTCGTCTCATTCTTAGCAACCTCCCCCACCCACCAAACAGTCCTGAATAGGGATTCTAGTACCCCCCCCCCCCCCCCCCCCCAAACCCTAAACCCTAAATCCTGAACCCTAAACCCTAAACCCTAAACCCCCCTATTCGAGGCCCTCTTTTGTGGCCCTCTTTTGTGGCCCTCTTTTGTGGGAAGAATCCTCAGGCCATGTGTCAGATGGTGGGCTTCCTCTGCGGCTCGATCACCAGCGGCCTCTACGCCCACCTCTTCGATGCGGAGGCCACCAGCTACGGCCAGAGCCTTGAAGAGCAAAGGAACACGAAAAAATTGGGCCTCATAGACCCTATACTACTATAATTCCTATTAAGGTTAGATGAACATATATGAACCATAAACCCGAAACACCACAATTTCTATTGAGGTAATATGAACATATATGAACCATAAACCCTTTTAGGGATCATGTCGTCCCCGAGGAAGGTCCTCCCATTTGCGGTCTCGGCGGTCATCGGGCTGTGGAACATCCCCCTGTTCCTGTTCTACAGCGGCCCCAAAGTGCTGGCCGAGTGCGAGAAGGTGGACAAAGAAGCCGCAGAGCTGAGAGCGGCATCAGCGAAGGCTTGGGTTTTCTTTTTTTCAGGCAAGTCTTTTTAGGGTTTAGGGTTTAGGGTGCATGCAGGTAAAGGCTTCGTGTGAGGGGCCCCTGAAAATGTCTGTCTGTACCAATAGCAGCAGATCCCGCGCCGAAGAGCACTGCCGTCCCTATTGACCCTGAACCCTAAACCCAGACCCTAAACCCCAACCCCTAAGCATTTGCGGCCGCCTTGCTCCGAGTGTCTTTGCCGGAGGTGCCGAAGACAAAGCCAGAGTGATTGTCGGAGGTTCGTTGTGTTCCGGCTTATCTCGATGCAGGCTCCCAAGACAAGATGCTCAGGTGACGAGCTCCGAAAGGTTCAAGGTCCCCTGAGGGCGCTGGAGGGGGCACCTTTCCGAGGACGGAGGTTGATCCAGGCACAGCAGATCCCGGCAACACCAAGCCGGTGCTTCTCACGGCTAGAGCAAGGAAGAAGTGAGGATCTTGGGGATGGAGGGAAAGACGGCGTCTGGCCGACATCGCGCTTAGCTGCTCGTTGGAGAAGTTCTGTTGCCAGCAAGACGCTGCAAAATGGTCTCCCGGGTCCTTTGACCTTGACAGAACGCCACTAAATCGATATCAATCACTTCAACACAAACAACATCATCTACCAAACCCTAAGCCCTTCTCTGCTGAGCTCGGCTTTTTCTAGGTGTTTTAAGGCTAAACGTCTGACTTTCCATGGGTGTAGCGGTCGCCCCGCCGTCGCAACTGCTGAAGCCCAGAGAGCATCCTAAGACCTAAGGGGCCCCTAAACACTTAAACCGCCAACATCCCGAATCCCTGCGCATTGCACGCGACGAGCTACACCCTTGGCCCAGAAGTCCAAAAAATATTCTTAGCCCCCTTAAGCCCTTAACGGCCCTAAGCCCTAAACCCTCCACTCTCAACCCTGAACCCTCCTCCCCCAAGCGTACGCCCACATCCTCAACCCCCACAAGGGTCTCATCAGCCTGCCGAGGGAAGATGGCCACGGTCTTGATCTCTATCGTTTGGTTCGGCCGCGGGGCCCCAGATGCGACGACGATTCAACCCTAAACCCTGAACCCTAAACCCTAAACCTAAACCCTAAACCCTAAACCCTAAACCCTAAACCCTAAACCCTAAACCCTAAACCCTAAACCCTAAACCCTAAACTCTGCATCTTTCCGGCGTTGTAGAATGTGGCACAGGATGCCGAAGGGGATAGCCTTGAATAGCAGAGTTCCATTAACGTCAATCAAGAGCAATGTTGCTTGTGTCTGCCGTGCGCACGAGGCATTCGGTACGAGCGTTTTCTCCTTCCGGTTGCAGCATGTCAGACCAAATTCTGCCGTATCAGGGCACATCACACTTGGCTGCTTCAGTCACATGCCATTCACTCAACAAAGCAAATCATGTCGAGGCACCATGGGGTATGTGTACCAACCAACCTGAGTCCTAGGTTTCAAGAGGGGCTTGGGGGCCTGAGATCTAGGCGCCCTGAACCAATGTCCCAAGCTTTGGAGTTGCAGGTCATAGCATGGCCAGCATGCAGTGGGTCTTCGTCGGCGTGGCTGCGACCTTAACTGCCTGACCACCCTCCCCCCAAGCGTTTGCACTTTTGGGATTTGGGGTGAGGGTCCTATGTTTGGAGGGCATCAAGCCTCAAATCCTCAGCCTTCACTCCTAAGTCACTGAAGGTCTTTGCATCGGTCATCGCAGAGATCAGCGAGAAGCTGCCGGGGCCACAGCTTCAAAATTGCCGTGTGGTTTAAGTGATGCCGAACTTACGGTTGGGGAGAGTTCACGGTTGAGGGTTGTGAGTTCGAAAGAAGTCAAGGAGACAAACTTGTTCATCCTCCTTGCCTCAGCTCCCTGTTGGGGAGGGCCTCCCCTACATGTCTGCAGTGTCCAGGCTTGCCTTAGCCGAGGCTGAAGCACAAGAAGAACGGCGACGCAAAGAATGGCAACGCAAAGAATGGCGACGCCAAGAACGGCGATGCCAAGAATGGCGACAAGAAGGGGGACAAGAAGAAGCAGTAGCTCAAAGCTCCGAAGAGCTCGAAGCGTACTGGAGGGCTTGCCTCTTGCTTCTCCTCCATACCCCCCCCCCACCCCAAAAAGCAAAAAAAAAAACAAAATCCTGAATTTCTAAACCCTGGACCCTCAACCCCTAAACCCTAAACCCTAAACCCTAAACCCTAAACCCTAAACCCTAAACCCTAAACCCTAAACCCTAAACCCTAAACCCTAAACCCTAAACCCTAAACCCTAAACCAAAAAAAGAGATCTAGAACCCCGTAAAGCTCCCAGCATGGCCCCGGCCACGGCTTCTCGGCCTGGCCCCACGTCCTGGCCACCGAGTTTTTGCACTTAACCTCGGTTGCGCCACAAAAGCGGTGCCTCACTTAGAGGTCATCTTGGTAGCCCAGTGGTGCCCTTTTGTCCCTTTTGTTTTTTGGTTTTGGGGTTCCCTTATACCCCAACAAAAGGGCACCCTTATGACAATGTTGGCTACTGGGCTACCAGGTCATAAATAAACCCCCAGAACCCCTGAAGAGGAACTTAGGAGGTCACTGTTGCGAAGCAACAGTGCTTCTGCCGCTGCCCGAAACCTCCAGGCAGTGGTGTTGCAAGGCGCCCACGAGGCTCCTCAATGATGTCGACCCCCTCCAACCCCTTAAACCCTAGGGTTTAGGGTTTAGGGTTTAGGGTTTAGGGTTTAGGGTTTAGGGTTTAGGGTTTAGGGTTTAGGGTTTAGGGTTTAGGGTTTAGGGTTAGACCCTGACAAAACCCAAGAGGAGCCTCGGTGTGCCCCGGGGAATCTTCCCCACCGAGTTCAGCATATACCGGCCCTTCGGGCATCGCGGTTGGCAATAAAAAAGGGAGGTGCCAAGCCCTAACTACCCTAAATATCCCAGACCCCAAAGGAAAATACCCTTCCCTGAATACCCAAAATCCCAAATACCCTAACCCCAAAGAAACCCCCAAAAGCCCAAAAGTCAGGGAGATGGGGTGGGGTTTGTAGGTCCTGGACCCTTGTTGGCATCCGAAGGTCTTTGTCAGGTGCGGGTGGGGGGTGTTTAGGGTCTTGCAGGGTTTAGGGTTTAGGGTTTAGGTCTTAGGTTTTAGGGTTTAGGGTTTAGGGTTTAGGGTTTAGGGTTACAGTAAGCTTCCCAAAGTTTGAGCATGGCTTAAGGATGATTCGAGCTGGGAGTCCCTTTGGTATGCCTTTTGGGGCATGGGGAACAGGATGTTCCAACTGTTGGAGTGTGCTGTCAGGGGTTTGGGGGTTGAGGGTTGAGGGTTTAGGGTTAGGCTCTGGCACAAGCAGCAGGGGCCCGACTAGATCGGTCCACCCGTGACTTAGGGCACCATGCTTGTTAAAGAGAGTTTTTTAAGGCAAATATAGGGAGCATCAGTGAGAAGTGGTTGACTGCCTTCTGTGGGTGCACCAGACTCAAGCGACTCGACAGTCCGGTAGCTGGGGCCGAGCTGCTGCAGCGCCAATGGTGCATGAGGCAGGAGGGTCTGAGGTTCTGGATTTAAGGCTTTTAAGCTTTTACCTTCTCTGACACTGCCGATGCCCCCGACCTAACCCCTTCAGGAGTATAATGGTCTTGAATCCCACGCCTTCCAATTCCAACACCCGGCAAACCGTAGATGCAGCTCTTGGGTCTTGGGGTGTAGTGGCCCCCACCTACAACTTAAACCCTGAAGCCTTCCCCCTACCTCCCCTGCAACAAACAGGGGCGGCGGCGCCCCATGCGCGCGTTGCGGGGCGTAGCAGCACTAAGCGTGGCTCTCGTGCTCACAGGCAGGGCTTAGGGATGTTTAGGGCTTGGGTCCACGGGTTGAGGGTTGTAGGGTCGCAGAATCCAGAGGTTTTGGGTTCAGGGTTTGCGCTCGCCACTAGCCAGGCTGGCTTGCGGATGCGTGGGCCAGGACTGTCCCGGTACTCTGCAGAACCCGCATGC